CTTACTCCCAGAGTATTGGTGAGATTTTAGTGAAACAAGGTTAATTAGCCCTGTTCAGGAGCCCTGCTGACTTCTCAGTGGATAAATGAGTACTTGGTAAATACTTCAGAGGGTTAATTACACCAGCGGTTCGCAACCTTTGGGCCACGGACCGGTCCCCGAGTCGTTTGGTATCGGGCCGCAAAAGTTGAGGCTTGGGTGTGATTTATGTAATTTATGGTTTTCAGGGTTTTTTATCGGTTTTATTGTTAACTCGGTTTCTCTGGGTCTTTTCCCGTGTGTTATGAATAAATCTTCTTGTTTTTCTGGTACCAGTACTGGTTTTATTTTGTTGTATTTATCCGCAACCCCTGAAAGACTGGTCCGTGAAAATATTGTCGGCCATAAACCGGTCCATGGCGCAAAAAAGGTTGGGGACCACTGACCTACACAACCAAATGCCTGAAGTGTTCATGAGCAACCAACCAACTGCTAAAAAAATGCTCAGTGAGGAAGTTGTATGTCTACCTTAAGTGTACCAGGAATTGAACTCTTGAGATTAAGAATCGCTTTTGCGAGGGTGTCCTAGGCCAAAATAGAAAGCACTGACCTAGCAACCTTGTGGAAATATGTGAAAATGTTGGTCGTTTCCAAACAGAAAAACCCCCAAATCATCATTAGTAAAGACTTTATTATTGAGCTGTAACATATCTTCCAAATCTGAACGGTTTTGTGGTTAGCACACTGTTAGCTTAAAGGGAGTTGTGCATAGTTGATTATGCTAGCCTACTTAATGCTGTTTAGTGGAATGTAGTTTTGCTTTTACATGATATAATTTCAGATCTTGTAAGTTTATGTTTACACATTCAGATTGTTTCTTTTTCTCCTGCCTAAATGGAAACATTAGGGAGCTAATGTTAGCTAGCTAGTTACATGAGAGAGTCTAAGTGGGTTATGATATTTATTATTTACTAACAACATATTTATGCAACATGCTTCAATATGTATGCTTAAATTCTCACTTAGTAAACACAAGCTTGGTTTAAGCATACAAACAAATGTCAAAAATCATTTTTGACCAGGGGCTACCAGACTCGGACCACCTTGTGATGTAAATCATGGCTCAAGTGTGGCTTAAAACATCAGGAAATAGAACTTTTTTAAATAATAACCGATCTTGAGGTTTCCCACTATGTCCCAAACGACGATTGAACTTCACTATTTTGTTGACTGAAGAAATTTTCTTTATTCCGAACGTAACTGTATCAAATTCAATATTCGTGATGCAAGATAAAATGAATGAATGTTATATGGCTTATTGCATCTTGTACAAACAGCATGAAATATTTAAGTGGTAATGCATGTGAGGCACTAACAGATCTTTTAGGCTAGTTTTATACAACCTTTTTGAAGGGTAAAATTTAGTCATTTGCTATTGTTTGTATTCCTGGTGGTGTATTCCTTAAGAATATCACTGGTGTCTTTGTATGAGAGCTGTTTGAAGGCTAAAAAGAACGCTGTATTCCACATGGGACCAAACTTCTACAGATCAACTTAAAAATGAACAAGCTTTATTTTTTATAACTGTAGATAGTCCTGGGGTCTTAAACAGTCCACCTTATCGTGCCAGACTGAAACAGACTGGTGGATATGGGGGTGAGGAAGACTGGACCCAAACAATAAAAGCTGGCCACATGACCATCCCATGACTCTGCAACATGTGCTCCTTGTTGCAAATTCCAGCTTAGGCTGAGGTTTAACACACAGAGAAATGCAGTCATGCACATTTACCATATGTAGTGTCTGTTCTTTCGTCTTGTTCAAACGAACTAATTCAAATCGTTAACTTGTGTGTCTAACCTTTAAATCACAGTGCAGTCACGACATTAAAAGCAACAACCATGAAACTGCACATCTTGTAAAAAGACAGCCAAATTTTAGGACTTTGATTGTTATAGATGTGTAAGAATAATTTAAGCAGTCCCTTCACTGAATGTTTTGTAGGTACACCAAAGACCATGTGCTTAAGAGAAATAATGGAAACTGATTTGTGAAAGCTCTATGAAAACTAATGGCAGTAGACAGTATAAAAAATGAAAGTGGCAGCCCTGCACACCTCCACTGATTTGTAAAGTCTGAATATGAAGCCTCAAGCTAAGTGTTTTCGCCGTGACCACCTTGGTGTTTTGAGACTGCCTGTGGCAAGTGAGGGCTGGATCTGGCTGCGTACATATATTCTCATTGGCTAACAACTTGCAATATCCTGATCATAACTTACAAAACTAAACTATTGAGTTGATTAAGTAATGATAAAAATGTTTATAAATGTCACAGACTGAAGGAGCGAAGGGTGTTTTTCCATATTTCTATGTAATAGGACAGGAAGTCAAGGGAGTCGCCCCCTGCTGGATGCAAAAGGAATACAAGTTTGAGGCACTTTGGCTTCAGAACACTAGGGTAACCCCACAAACATTTGAGGTTTTTAGGGCTGACACTTGCCTAATGGCCACTGTTTTGCGGAGATTTCCCTAATTAACTACATTTGTAGAATTTCCTTGTAAAGCTATGAATGTCCTCCTTCAGAGTTATTTGTTGGAAATATCCAGTGGTATACTGCTGGGCACTTCCTCCTCTAAGAAAATTTCTCGTAACATTAAAAATCAATGTGCAGAATGTGTGTAAAATATGCTGATGCCAAGAAACTCTGTGATGATTGTATTCCAGTCAGAGTAATATATATTTTTTGTGCATTACAGTATGTTTAAATGACCAGACAGTGATGTGCATTACCTAAACATTAAATGTGTTTATTCCAAATTGAGCACTATACAGGATTTGTTCTTTAACAACCCTTTAACATTTCTGTACTTGTGTTTGATCTGCATGGCGATTTTGTTCCATTATGCTGCTTATGTACATGTTGTATAAAAGTCATAAATCATGTAAGTGACTGTACTATCCTGGTTGTTCGATCAACAGCAATCATCCAAGTAAGAAACCATGTCCTACAGTAAATGTTTTTTGATTATATTCCATGATAAATATACATTATGTGCCTGCATATTCCTTCCATCAATGCCTCAACGTGTCAAATAAACAGTATTTTTCTCTGGTATGACCCATTTGGAGATTAAAATATTTTTTTTAAAAAGTAAACTAACAACAACTACATAAACTAAATGAAATTGCTGGCTTTGCAATATATTTACACACACAAAAATCTTATTCTGCTTGAAATAGTGGCTACACATAAAGTCACATATACTTTCATTTCATTTCATTTCATTTATTTGTTCATTTCCAGGCACAACAAATACGTATATTGAATATAAATGCACAAAACAAAAAACAAAAATTGCCTGAACATGTAGAGACATTTTTATTGTCCCCGAATTTCAGCTTCTTGCGTTTTTACTACTGTTCCATGCAAGATTCCTCTATTTGCAAGATGCTAAAATGCTCAAAGGTTTTATTGCATAGACTATTTCACACTGTTATTAACCCTCCAACGTTCCTGGGTGGATTTGCAGTGGTGCTTAGGACACACATAGACTGTATGTAGGTGGCTAGTGAAGTCCTCTTGTGAAGCCCCACACTGGGTATTTTCACCATTGCCATCACACCTTTTTAAAACTACACCTTACCAGCCCAGTGTTGGATCTGACTACAACAGGATCTACAGTTTGTAAATCAAAAATCTTTAATCACAAATGATACATTTTAACATATGAACTTCTGGGTGTGTTTAATATAACTGGAAACTGCCACAAGCCCATAAATTAATCAAGAAAATGTTTATTGAAAGCCAAGGGCCTTTCCCCCCCAAAACGTCTTTGGAACGGGAAGTCTTTTGGAATTGGAATTCAGAGCCAGAGGCTATGTCCATCTTTTATATACAGTTAGTGGATTTGGATAATTTTAACTTCCACTTTTAGACAACTTTCCTCACATTATCTGTGACTGAGTGGAATCATTGACTACCAGCTGCCTGAGGCAGCAAAGCAACCCCAGACCAGATAATTTCCAACATCATGCATCACACTTAGTATGACTTTCCTCTGGAAAGCACCCTTTGGTCTTCTCTTTCCTAGATTTTGTATGCCCAGAGAAGGCTTTTGTCTTTATCAGCATTCTGAGCCTCTTTGGAGAGTAGACATGTACGCACTGGCACCAACAGTTACCTGCACACACTACGACTGAGTTTTGGGGACTATATTTGCCACTGGTATATGATTTACTTTACAGTGGAATGATTATTTCAAAAGATTTCACAGGATTCTGTAGAAAGTCTGAAAGTTCTTCAGATACTCACACCGCACATTTCAATGACAAAAAGAACAACACACCCAAGATGTCAAAGGTTTAAATAAGACAGACCACATGTTTAAATATCACTGCATAAAGTTCTTCAAAACACTAGCAACCCAACCACCTAATTTTACACTTAAAGAAAGATAAATGTATCAGTGTGTACTTACTTTTTCTATCTGTCTTGTATCTATCTATATTTTTAATTATTTTTTTGAATTATAAAAATTACTCTGGGGCATTTGTTTGAAACCATATCTTTATCTGTGGTGTGTTTGTACAAACATGTCAAAAGAGCCAATATTCGACCTGTTCACAGAGCTGTGTAAGTCTTTGGACCACTACTTTACTTGAAAATGGGAATAAGGGCCAGGAATGTTTTTCAAACAGACATATATGGAAATGCAGTTTAAAAAGTAAGAAATTGAGTTTTCAATCGTAAAGAAAGAACTTGAAAGACACAGGTATTGACTGGTTATTTGCCAAGTTGTTTCCTATGTGTAGACACAATACTGGCTCATCTGTTGAGTTGCATATTTTCCGGTGAATGATTATAAGTCAGGCTAAAGTGGCTTAAATAAACATTCTTCAGATAATGTGCTAAAAACAGCCAGTGTCCAAAGAAAAACTTTGAATGACCTTCAGAAAGTAAAGACCAACATAATAAGAAAGTTTGGCTCCTTGGATGCAAAATATAAAGAAATAAGGGGTTCAAGACTTTTACATAGTACTGCAGTTTTTTATAAGTGGACATACAGTTGTTTCATTTTGCAGTTTTCTTTTATGTTGTTTCTGACAATACAAAGTGTGTGAATAAATAACACTAGAAGACGAATTTATACTGTAACAATAATAACGCTTTAAATGAAACTTTCCAAAGCTCTTCTCCTTTCATGTACAGTATGGGCTTATATTTTGCTTGGTTTTAGGATCTCAAATGTCTCATTTCACAGGCTGTTGTAGATCTCGAGAAAATGGTAGGATCTCAAAATGCAGTGATATATGGTGTAAAAGAGAAAAGAGGAGCTGGTGGTTGCAACATCAGCAGGCACACCTGCTCCTCACAGATGCCTCCTCCACTTCATGGCTGGAGACGGGGCTGCCATTGGGTTCTGAGCCTTGGCCCCCGTATGTGCTCTGCTCCATCCTCTTCATCACCAAATTCAGCAGGGTGGTCACCGCCAGGTCCACATCAGCACCCGTCACTGCACTCGTCTCAAAGTACGGGATGCTTAGGAGAATGTGGAACAAAAAAAAACAAAAACATTAGCTGATCTTAAAAATGATTGTTTTACAATCCAAAATAAGTCTTTGCTGTAAAAGTTTTTTTTACAGATCCAAGATCAGGGAAAACTGTTGACCAGCACCATCTTATGGTGACAGAATTAAAACTAGATTTCCGTCATCTTCAAGGAAAAGAGAAAATAATTTCTAATCTGAACTCATTAACTCATCATGAACCTGTGGAAAACACAAACTTCTAAGTCACAGTTACCAGATGAAGCTATATAAATATAAAATGATATTAAATTTAAAATTTAAAATGGCACCAGAGTAGTGATAGAAAACAATTTTAATAAAGTGTCATTTCGTTTTGGTTTGGCTGATAATGTCTTTCTCAGCAATTAGGCTGTAAAAATATAATGATCCCACTGTCAGTTTGTATTTGTAGGTCATGCTGAAAAGCCCCTTTGGGCTCCAGCTTGGAAAATGGGGTCTCGTTTGGGATAATTCACACTTCTGGCTCAAATGAACTCATCAGTTCAGGCAACCACTTTCATCTATTCATAATAATGGATATTGTGTACAAATCAGCAAAAAGTCCAAAAGTTATCCCCTTCTCATCTGTCATTTATAAATCTGTAGGAAATCTAGTAGGACACACTGGATGTCTTTTTTATGTTGCACACTTGGCATTATTACTAGAATCAGGTGATAATGTATGAAGGCCAAGAGAAAGTTTTTTGAGAGACCTACTAAAATTGGAGAAGCTAAAATGAGTAAAAACAATTCATAAAATAATAATTTACCACAGAACAATAGCAATAAAAAGGTTACAGTAACCTTATATTTAATGTGGTAGAACGTCAGGTTTAATAAGTCTTCTGAATATTAAAAAAATAAAACAGGACATAAGATCAATAAAAGTCATACACAAAAACTGTAAACTGTTGTCACATGAAGTTTGGTTATTAATTTAATACCATGGCAGTATTAATAAACAAACAAACAGCAGCCATAATTATGTTTGCGCAGAGGAAAGAAAAATGAAAAAACAAGTATGAAAGTACACTATTATGTCTCTTTATGGGTACAGACATATTTTTATGATTAATACAGTGTTTGTAAGGCCTTACCCATATCTGTCTGCCAGATCTCTGGCTTGCCTGGCGTGAACACTTCTCATGTCTCTGACGTCTGCCTTGGTACCCACCAACACCACATCTGGACTCTCACAGTATGCGTTGGCCTGCAGCTGACCTGAAACACAGAGGAAGTCACGTAAAGCCTCAGCATACATGAGAAGAAACTCAGAATCAGTCGAGATTATTATCTGTGCAGCAACATAAAACTAAATATATTGATTGGAAGCAGAACAGGGGGCTCAGTGGAAACATACTCATCCAGTTTCTGACATTGAGGAAACTTTGCTGATTGGTCAAGTCAAACATCAACAGGAAACCCATGGCATCTCGGAAGAAAGCTGTGGTGAGGCTGCGGAACCTAAAGAAGAAGCAGATTTTTTAGAAAGCAGATGTCAAACTGACATGTCTAAGCACCTGCTGAATGGATTTAAATACAATACAACATTCATGGTCCCAAGAATCCTACTGGCGTTTGGGATTTCTGTAACTGCATCCCCAGCAGACCCACAAGGCTAAAATTGTTTTTTCTTAGCACAGACTGTATATAAAGGATGGAAGATGTTACTTGCATTGTTTCTAGGAGGTAACTACTCTGGTTCCAAGAAGAGAAAATAGCTTTCGGTTTGGTTTTTCAGTGGCCTCAGCAAAAGTTATTCCAGTTTATGGTCTTTATCACTAGTTTCAAGTCTTAGCGTAATATTACGTATGATGATAAAAGCAGAGTATGCTTTAGCCACTACCTTATGAACGTGTGGGTTACTTGATAAAGTCTGTGCCACCTTGTACACATGGTGTCTGGTTTCATAAAGCTATGATGGAGAGGGCTCAAAGAAATAGGACTTCAGTAACAAGTGGGTGACATCAGAGTGGCTACACTAAAGTAAGAACTATGCAGTCCTGATTACACCTTTAGTGCTTCTACAGGAAGGTAAGTAGCAGCAGGGGGCTGCTAATCAAATACATTTAATCAACTGATCATCAGCAAGTGTGAGGATCTCTTTAAATGCAGAATCTATTGCATTTTTCTTGTCTGGAGCATTGAAGGGTGAGTTAGCACAATCCTACAACCTTTCTCAGATCAAACAACAAATTCAGACAAGCGCCAAATTTCAGACTCTACAGGCCTCAGTTAGCATGCTAAGGTTTACAGTGTTGGGAAGGTTACTTTTAAAATGTATTCCACTACAGATTACAGAATACCAGCCCCAAAATGTATATTGTAACGTATTCCGTTTCATTACTCAATGAGAGTAACGTATTCGGAATACTTTGGATTACTTAATATATTATCATGCTTTTTACAACTACATGAATGTACTATTGCTGTGTGATTTATTACTATTACTGAAGGCTACTCGCCATACCAATACTAACTAGATTTTTAAATCTTAATATAAAATGAGAAACAGTAGGGTGGACATTAGGTAAGGCTGCATTTTTTGCAGCGATCTCATATAGAAAACTATAAAACAGGTCAGCGGCTCCGAACCGTAGTAAAGGGACCTCTGGCTAATACGGCGGGTTCTGTGTCGGGCTCATAGCCGAAAACTAGCTTTACTTTGTTTTCTGGGTGAACTTTGCGAGAGACAGAGAGAGGCGTTGAAAGGCGGCTCCAACTGAACTTCTTGTTGTTTCGGAGGAAAACACGAACACGGTGTACAGTCGAGCCTTAATAGCTTACTTACAACTGGGCTCGTCAGGCACTCTATTTGGCTGCAGTGGTTATTTTTATATTTACATGCTTCCAGCTCCCGTTTCTGGTCGGTGACAACTTGTACTTTTCCACTCTTCTTTTTCTCCCTCCCTTGCACACAGACAGATAATGAGTATGGCAGTCCATTCTCCCTGCAGCACGGACTACACTGCCCATGAGGCTACATTCTTTAGGGCTATGCCTGTAACACTCTGCCTATTGCCTTCATATTAAATAATGTTTTGAATAATAAAAATATTCCTTCACATCATTGTACGGGCTTCAAGTAGGGGTGACATGGGTCGTGAGATTGAGACACAGACATTAGAGTCTCTTAATGTGATTCGTTTGGGTTCCCACCAGTGTGGAATTACCAAAAATAGAGAGGGCATAGCTTAACATATAAAGCAGGAAAAGACCGCTGTGTAATCCATTTATTTCAACAAAGTAACTGTATTCTGAATACCACCTTTTTAAACGATACCTGTAACGGAATACAGTTACTCGTATTTTGTATTTTAAATACATAACGCCGGCACATGTATTCCGTTACTCCCCAACACTGAAAGTTTGTGACAATACAATTAGCAAAAGACTGAACAATAGTTGTTCTCTCTAAAAAGAACATGTCAGAACAAATGACAAGATGTCAGGAACAATATCTTTTGGACAGATGACACCAAAGCAGAGATGTTTGTCCATAATGCACAATATAGTGTTTAGCTTGGAGGAAACCAAACACAGCATATCAAGGCAAACACCTTATACCACCTGTCAAGACTGTTAGTGGAGGGTGAAGAATTAAGCTTGTTTTGCAAACACAGGACCTGGACACCTTGCAGTCATTTAGTCAATCATGAAACCCTCTGCATACCAAAGTATCATGTGCCTGACAGCTAAATTTGGACATTCCGGACATGAAATGGACTACATAAACCAGGTGTGATGAATTAATTATCAGGTGCAAAGATTTTTAAAATGATAAATAATGTTTCGATCCTCCACACACACACTTATTTATGAAATATTAACTATGAATTATGAAACAAAGAAAAATTTCATGATTACCTCTCTTGTCCTGCTGTGTCCCAGAGCTGAAGGTGAACTTTGAAGTTCTTCTCAGTTGCCCCATCTACACCTGTCCCCGTATAAACCTAAAGCAATACACAGAGCCCAGTAATCAACTCAAAAAGTTCAAAATGCTCCACATCCAAACCAAATTACACGATTTCTATTTTACGTTTTGTGTCATTTCTTTGGATTAGCAGGATGCGTGGACGGATGCAACACAGTTACACTTATGATAGAGATCAAGCAAAATAGATAATTTGATATAACAGGTCTACTTTATGGACAAAACTCAACGTGACCATAGCTGTACTGGCAACATAATACCACACTAATGTTTTAGTTTCATATAAGCAGCAAATAGAGACGTCTTTTTTCTCTTGGCTACAGACTTGACTACAGAGATTTTCATATAACATAAAAACCTAGCATTTTCAGTATAGCTGATTACATCAGGAAAAATACATTTAGGGTTGCTACTTCAGCTTCAAAATCGTGGTTTTACTCAATAAGGATTTACAGGATTTCATTTTGTTCTTTGTTATATTTTTTGAAGAAGAAAGTATTAAACTTTTGGTTTGTAATTCTCTATTTTGTTTTAATTATTTCCCTAAGATGAGTTTGGCATGTCTAAGTGTTTATTAGACATTTAGTTAGATTTTCTTCAATAGATTATTACCATGTTACTAACAACCCGAGTTAACACATTTTTTCTAACAGACGATGAAGCCAGAAAATAATTTTACCCTCTATATGCATACTTTTTCTTTATTATTGTTTTAAGTAAGAAGAACACTCTCAGATTGAGATAGTTTTTTAGTCCAGTGAGTATTTGCAGATTTTTCTTTGTCTTTCTTGTAAAATTTAAAATAGTTTCAATAAATGTGAAAAGTTCTACTAAAATAGAGCAACCTGAACGCCTCAATTTATTGTGACTTGCTGCAAGAAGTCAGTGAAACAAACAAACAAACTAACAAAAAAAGACCACATATGACTGTTAACAAAAAAGACAACAAAAACATTTTAAATAACATTTGATACTAAAGATACAGATTTCACTGGTGGGGATCAATATTGGAGGGAGTCTGGGGGTCATCCCTTCAAACATATCTTTGCTTCTTTTATATTTCCTACAATATATCTCTACTAGAATGCTTTCTTGACTCTAGTGATCCCACATTAACCTGTCAAATAATAATTTGTTGTGTACTCTATTAAAAGTTAATGGCCACTTATTTCTGTATCAAACATTATCTGCCAATTATTATAAAATACTTAAAAAGATAAATGTGTAAAAAGACTTACCTGGCCTTACTGAGTTTTTGAAATTTTTTTTTCCCTATAATTTAAATGCCATTAACATGTACTCACCACTCTCTTTTCCCTGAAGTCGATGCCCACTGTGGTTGTGAATTTGCGGTTGAACTTGTTGTCAGTGTACCTGTAGAGGAAGGTGGTCTTTCCCACTCCTGAGTCCCCCAGAGCCAGCAGCTTGATCAAATAGTCATAGTCCCAGTTAGCCATTGTACAGCTGAGTGCCGAACCTGCCACAGAGTTTAGCTCACATTACAACACTTTGCTGGTTTTCACATGTCCCAAACCATGAGAGCTGAGACACATGTGGGAAAATAACAACTTATAAGGTTAAATTCTTCAACCTAAGCTGCAGTTCTCAGTCTGAGGCTGTAGGACCATCACACAGGCTTAGCAGGACGTCATAACTCCCCACTCATTAGGCACTGATCAGAGAAGGACTAGCACATGACTGGAGCTGGCTTCCACATGAGCAGTCAAATGCCTCTCCAGAGTTTTCTCTAACTTTGCTTAGCAAAACCCAGCTTGTTTGGCACACAGAAGTCCTTTTATTGACTTAAAGAGCTATGGGCAGACAGCTCAGCAGTGCATGACGCAACTATGTCATCGCAATGCTTTCCTTACACTGTCAGCTGGGGCTAGTCCAGTAAAGACAGGATGGGAAATCCCATTTAATGATGCCAAATAGTTAAAAGTATTTTTCTTACTCCCTTATGTACTTAAAAAAACTACATTAAAAGAGATATTACTATATCTTACTCTGTGCAATCAAGTGACAAGGATGCTGCTTAATTAACCCTCTAATGATTAACAAAAAGACTGACTAGATTAACACAAAACATTACTTTAGTAATTTTCTAAATAGTCCAAACATCAATACTACACCCTCAACACACACAAACCATTAAAACGTTAAAATCTTACCAGTCTACGTGGAGAAAATGAAAACATCCGTTCACAAGTTGCACCGCTTGTTCTTAATAAATAACCACTATCATCATTCGATGGTACATTGCATAGCCTGAACCTTTCCCCTGTGCTACATGTGATACAGGGAGGAGTTTAATACCAGCTTCTGCTGTGTTTACAGACCCTTGTGTTTTCCGCTGTTATTTACGAGGAAAAAGGGCTCTTTGAACACTGGATAGTCTGTGGATTTAAGTGGAAATGGTCCAACCAAAAAAAACGGGCCTCACGTCTGGAGGCTCAGTGAAGTAATCCTGCTTCTAAAAACAAAGCAGCCTGTAGACGTTTTTAAGTTCTATAAAAGGTTTTATTTCTAAAAAGGAAAACTATGTCACTTATATGTGCTGTGGTACAAAAAAAAGAACTTTAAATATATATCAATTGTCAGCACTGTCAGGTTAATCAGTAATGTCTGAAGTGAGGCTTTCTGCTCATACTCATTTTTAAGGTTATAGTTTAGTTATTCCATTATTGAGCTTAACTATTGATCATTGATGGAATCAGTTAATTTCCTCCTTTATTGCTGGGCAGGTTCTGTATCTTTTCTGTATATACTTAAACAGTTAAAAGCAGGATTAAAAGCTTAGTATACCCCTCCTTTTAAAGTCCCCCTTCCTTTACGTGAACTACATACAGATTGGTTGCCTCTCACAAAAAATGGTTTGACCATGTTTAATATGAACATCTACCATTATAATATGTTGTATGATAGAAAATATATTTTATACACACGGTAAAGATATCACACAGTATTAGATATCAATTATTTAATGCTTAAGAAAAACAAACTTTCTGACATTCAAGGTCATCTGAGTCAATTTAGGTTATAAATTACTTAAGAAAAGTTGCTTAGTTTGTTCAACAACCCAACATCAAGAAAACTTTCATTTATCTTCGTGACATAGTTTCTAACTGGGTTTGAAATACTTGAACAAGTTGTTGGCCTGGCTGCCTTTTCCTGGAGCCTTTCTGTCTTTGGACATCAAGCTTTTTCCTGGTTTCTTAGATGAGGAAGTCTTCAGAATTGGCTTCTGCTGTTTCCACTCAGACATCAGCTCCCTTTGAACATCTGGCGGAAGCTCAGAAAACACCTTAGGGTCCACATTTCCCGGGAACTCGCAGTCAGATAACCGGGGGAATGACAGACCCCCTTCTTCCATGACTTCTTCTTCTGGGAATGCGCTTGTACCTGCCTTCCCCTGGTGATTGACGGTGGTCACTCTGTTGGAAGAGTTCAACTTGTTTGCAGCATCTTTTGTGTCACTAATACTTTCTGAGTCTGTAAGTGTCTCAGGAAGTTTGCTTTTTGATGTGCTGGGGACATCAGTGCCTGACTGGCTGCTAGAAGTGCTGTACAGGGAGCTCACATAAGCAGGAGATAACAGCTCCTTCTGGATGTCCTCTGGAAGAAGCTTGAACACCTCCGGGTCAACATTGGGAGGCAACCGTGTCACAGCGTTAGCAGTTTCGTCAGGGTCGCACCCAGCTGTACTGCAGGATGCATTTCGAGTCTCTTCTACAATGACAGCAAAGTTCTGTTTCCATCTTAATCCGTGTAATGGTGCCTCAGAGCTAGAAGAACTAGAAGAGCTTTGTATGGCGGGTTGTTTATTGTGCTGAGTAATCATGCCATCTGTGCCAAATTGATGATCCATATCAATACCCTGAGAGGAATCAACACACTGGAGAATGAAAGAGGAACAAAAGTGAAGTGAGGAAATTCAGAGTACTAGCACATTCCTTCCAGGAAAGAAAAATCCTGCATTAGGTAACTGGGCAGTGTGAAAGAACAGCCTTTCTACTGACCAACATTAATTATTTCTTAAGAACCCTTCTAATACTACTTTGACTTTAATTTAATACCTATTTCATGATCATGATGTTCAAAGTAGAGCCAATATGGCCTTAAATACATTTTTCAGGACTTCCCACTGCTAACACAAAGCAGCGTTTTCATGGAGTTTGGTTACATAGTCCACTCAAGTTAAACATGTTTCATGAAAGCCCATCAGCTCAGACCACATGATCTGGATAAATTATGTCTTTAATGACATTTTGAGGCAGAACATGAAGGAACGTTTCAGCTGTCATTACTTATTTAAACACAGTTCACAGTTTTTCTTCGGAATAATAAATTTGGCACCTAACAAAGACGTTTTGTTGCTACCTAAAAAGAAAATCGCAGGGGTTGTAATATTTTAAGTGGGCTTTCATTTCCTCAAGCATGGCCAGAAATAATGTGCGGACCTCTCTTACGTATGGTTACACACACTTATTGCCTCAAGAATATGATGACTAGTTGTGCTTACGTCCATACTTGACCCTGAAAAGCTAATTTTAAGTCAGGAAAAACCCCTGAAGTTGCTCTGGAGTGTTTTTAGAAACCCACAAATATTTGCCCCTAACAGCCAAATAAGAAAGAGGAGTACTGCCAATGGTGGTAATCAGGTTACAGTAGCATATTTTTAGAACAGGAAATCCAATGATTTCATTACATCAATTTGCCTATAGTGATGTGCCATGGTTTCCATGGCTGGCTCAATATCTCTGACCCATCAGAGTATGGACAAAAATCCTCTGGGTGTCTATAACATTAGGATGCTGGCAGTGGATCCTCAGTGATCCAGCTACTGCAAATCGTAGTATTGAAATTGTCGAGTGCAAATCTAATGGCGCTTAGTAATAGGAATGAAAGAAAATGATAGATAATTCCTGCCATTCAGACAAAATTAAGAAACTGTACAAATGGTCAAGTTCTAGCTTCTCCTTGTCCCAAAGAAAGGTAAAATTAATTTATTTGGGCTGTTGAGACAAAATAAGACATATTAAGAGTGACTGATTTGTTTTTTTTTCATTATGGTTTGACATTTTATAATTAATTAATTAATTCATATACTAATATGATAGAAAATAAAGTTATTTGCAGCCCTAATCAAACAGAAATCAGATCCAACAGTTTTTATGAGTGATTCTGAAGGCCTTAGCGGGCAATCCAAAAAATTTCACTTTTATAGGCTACAGTTAAAAGATTTTACTATGTTTTTTATTACAACCCCTTTCATTTTCCTTTTCATGGAAAAATCAAACTAAGATTATCTAACAGTGTTGACAAGCCACGTTACATTTTACCTGGCACTGCGATAAGACGGCCTGGGATTTTTTGGGAGATGTGCTCTGTGAAAAGAACGATGTTATCGAGCCCTTCCCGGTGACGGCAGCTGCTCTGGTCTGCAGATTACTGAAGCAGACGTTAATGAGGGTGAGGTGGAAGGGGGCGCCGCAGTCCACCATCCTGTAGAAGAGTTTCATGGCCAACGGGAGCAGCTGCATCACAGCATCATCACTGCTGCCTATAGACGCATTAGAGAAAAACTGTTTTAATGGAAAGAGTTTTCCTAACTGAGCTGATTTTAACTGCTTTCATTAACCAACTAATTAACCGATTAATTTAAATTAACGTGATTGAAGACATTACCAGATATTACAAAGGCTCAGTAGATACGGTACATCTAGACTTCTAGTTATAGTCAGACCTGGATGACTAAAGCTTTTCATTATGTTTTTGTTTAGCGAAAAAGCAAGAAATCACTGTAAACCGACTTAAACTCAAAATCAAAAAAGTTTATTTATGCTCTGATTTTGACTTGAGAAATCAACTTTAGCAACTAAAGTCTGCAAGGTTAAGCTCCTTCCCAGCGTAGCCTGTTTGTGTTGGGTAAAGGCGCACAGTGAGTGCTTGACATTTTTGTCTGAAACTAGGAATATTCATTTATAGTTAGCCTGAGGGGAAACTGCTGAATGCTGACAAAATCTCGGGGAAAAGGATGTAGTTTTCAAAGGCAGAGAGCCAGGACAAATATATTTTAAAAAAATGTATACATTGTTTAATATTTTGGCTACGTTTTATTTTTTGACTCTATTAGAGAAGCTTTGCATGCTTCACAGTTCAAACTAAACCTTATTTTTTCCTCTAAAAGGAGGCGCTTTGTTAAGCAGAAGGAGGAGGAGCCTCCTGTGTGATGACCATTTATAGAGATATCTGCTCAGAGTGACATTGTAAAACTCTAAGTGGATGATAAACAGCTTTTAACAGAGCATTTGGAGCAATCTGAAATCTGAAATGTTGGATCAAAGGGCTCATCTAGAAATGATCTTATTTTGAGGATCTACCATTTAGCAGTACATGTGTGACAGAACATAAGAAAAGGATCTGTAAAACATTTATGAGAGAAGATTTTTGAAAAAACAAAATTTAATTATTGACAAGGGATAGACAGAGTGGGTAACTCTTGCTCTTGAGGCAAATGTGTAAACCACTATAGTGTGGAAGCACATTTTTCAAAAATTTATACACACAGAAAATTAAAAACCTGATAAAACCTCTACAGATATCATTCTGAGCTCTCCCTGACACGTGAGCATACCAGAGCTGATCTTCTGTCCAATGTGGTCGGGGATCGGACACTGCCGGCTCTCCCGACTGAACCACTTGTTGGTCGTTGTGTATTTACGGATTGTGAGCCTGAAGGTTTGAGGCTGCCTGCCGTCTTTGCGCATCCTGCTTTCAAATATAAAACCAAAGGTAAGATTAAGGAAGCCATCCCCCTGTGGCGATTCAGCTTTGAGCTGGTAAAACAGACCTTTCAACCAGACTGCTCAGAAGTTGTTGTGTCTTCTCTGAAACTTCTTTTGTTGAGGACATTTTTTTGAAAGAGTCTTCATCACTGAGAGACTGAAACATAAAGAGGAGAGCAATGCAGCCAAGAAATGTAAAATCGTTTCCCATCAAACATGACTAGAATTAAAGGATTTCTACGGCAATTTACATATTAAAAACACAGGAATCAATATTATTTATGAACTTCCATTTTTACTCTTCATCTGCTTCCTTAAAGGTCACTTCTGGATTCTTTTTTCTATATTTTAAAACTAAATAACTATGGTTCACTAAACTGAACTGGATTGCTTAAACTCAAAACGCCAAATTAAAACCAAGTCACTGATGTTTTGTTTGAATACTACTAAAACTTATTTATCAGTGAAGTGTTTAAAAACATACAACCTCACACTATATAAGCTGTAGATAGCAGTAATTAAGTTCCAATAGTTTCTTATCTTGTAGTACTGCAAGAGTTTCTGCACAGCAAAA